AGCTTGTGGTGGCTAATGTTAGCAAACTTTGGGAAACTACTGCTGCATAACAGGCATTACTACATGTTACAGTGCTGCAAGCTAAATGCTAAACATTAGCATTTAGCACCCCATAATCAGTCAGTGAACATGTCTCCTCTCTTCCTGCAGTGTTCTAAAGAAGATATAGCGGACAAGCTTGGAAAGAAGATCTCAGAGACCAGAGCGATTCACATCGCCAACCCCAAGACAGCCGAGTTCCAGGTAAAGATGAATATAAATAAAACTACAACGCTTTAATGTGTTAGATGTAGAGCAGTGCTGTTACCTCAGCAGCATTGTTTTGAACCAGGAGCAAAATGGAATCATTTATAGATATGAGAGTCATCTTTAAGCCTAAAAGGAAAGTGAACTTGACAATGAAAATGTAATTTTCTACCTCATCCACAATTTTGTTTAAAAAATAAATGCGTCTGAATTTGTCTTGAGAAAACATGATGATCTAAAGTCCTGTGCCGTCGCCTTTGACTCTAACAATGTGGTGGTGCAGAAGACTGTGCAACAGTTTCACTTTGTTTATTTAATGTTCATATTCACAAGTGGTTTTATATATTTGTGCTTGATGAACACTCAAGTTAAATTATGTGCCAACTGACAAATCATGCTGCTAATGTCAAGCAACATCATTTTCAGGTTGCAAACTTTCTTTTCTTCAAACATATTTGAAAACACCTGAGAATGTACACATTGGACCAAGAAAGTTCTACCTCTGTTACTGAGGTTAGTTTGTATGAAAACGTAATTAAAAATGATGAAAAGCACTCATTTAAAAAGAGACAATCATGCAGGAATGGTCAGTGTCACTCTTGTTAGTTGTGTTATTTCTCCAGAAGAGGGAGCTCTTTCCTCTCTGAAATATTGATGGTACAGTATTCAGCGTCACCACTGTTCTTCACCACCAGGTGGCGCGCACCACCCTGCTGCCAGGCCTGCTGAAGACCATCGCTGCCAACAGGAAGATGCCTCTTCCCCTCAAACTGTTCGAGATATCTGACGTGGTGCTGAAGGACGACACCAAAGGTGGGCGTCTGCATTTGTGAAGAGACGGAGGGGAAAATCGTTTGGGCTCGTCTTACACATTGTACCGAACACACACTGTACTGAACACACACTGTACTGAACACACACTGTACTGATCACACACTACTGAACACACACTGTACTGAACACACACTACTGAACACACACTGTACTGAACACACACTGTACTGATCACACACTACTGAACACACACTACCGATCACGCGCCGTACCGAACACACACGTGAGATGTCTAATTATAATACATTTTAGTTTAAGAGCTTATCATAGACACCCGATCGTTTCGATAAATATATGAAAATGAACACAAAAAGCATCTTTTTCATATATCAGATGGGGATTGACACTCACTGGCAGATATATTTAAACACAAACCCAGCACTGACTTGATTTACTAGTACGTTATTGGCATAGCTCTGTTCTTTATGTCCCTAACTCTCCCTTCTCCTCGTCCCACCGTCCAGATGTCGGGGCGAGGAACAGCCGGCGTTTCTGTGCCGTTTACTACAACAAGAGCCCGGGCTTCGAGGTGATCCACGGCCTGCTGGACCGGACCATGCAGCTGCTGGATGTGAAGTCGGCCCGTGGGGACGGATACCACATCCAGGCTGCGGACGGTAAGAAGCCTGGAGAGGGACCCACCAATCAGAACCACAGGAATGTAATTCAGAGCTATCGCGTTGGCTGTAAATATCTTGAGCCTGGATTATATCCCCCTGATTTCAACCCCCCATCATGTAGAACACGGTTATTTACTCGCCGTGCTGGTGAAGGAATGAATCTGGGTCACGTGAGCTTCTGTGTAAATCCAGTGCATGACGAGCAGTTTTCTATGGCAGTTACAGATGTCACGATGTACAATGTTGATACCACGATTATTATCAGAGGAAATGTCACGTTTTATTTTTACAATTATTAATCAGAATATTTACGATATAGCTAATAACTATTTCCTTCTACTTTGTTTAAGTCATCTATAGCGGTTATTTGCATAAAAACACCACACTTTTCAAACGACTAGGAAATAAAATATGGTATAAATTTCACTAATTGGCCACTTAAAATCATACTGTGAGTGTGATTGTAGATTATAAATCTATAAAAATGATACTTCACACTGCAAAGCTCTCGGCTCATAAAGCCTCCACGTTCTGCTGCTTCTGGAAGGAACTTTCACAACATACTTTATGACGAAATGTTGTAGAAAGTACTAAATGATAAAATGGAACTAGTCACCAGATCTAGTTTTGTAGATCTCTCTCTCTCTCTCTCCACCCCACCCCCCTCTCTCTCTCCACCCCCCTCTCTCTCTCCACCCCTCTCTCTCTCCATCCCACCTCTCGCTCTCGCTCTCTCCATCCCACCTCTCGCTCTCGCTCTCTCCATCCCACCTCTCGCTCTCTCCATCCTATCTACCTCTCGCTCTCGCTCTCTCCATCCTATCTACCTCTCGCTCCATCCTATCTACCTCTCGCTCCATCCTATCTACCTCTCGCTCGCTCCATCCTATCTACCTCTCGCTCTCTCCATCCTATCTACCTCTCGCTCTCTC